TTTTTGTAGGATTCTAGTTTTAGAATAAAGATTTTGATAATTTGTCTGAATTCGACACTTTTTGATTGTTCAAATGCCACTATTCCTACGGGTTAAAAATCTGTAGATTTGCTCAAATTTGATACTGCATTGGATATTGTCGTTGTTTCAAGGGAATATCATTTTGTACACATATGCCTTAACTGAAGACGGATATAAGAAAGGGAGAAGTGAAAATATTGTCAAAAGCGGATGAGGAAAGAGAGAGAAGGAAAGAAGGAGGGGAGGAAGGAGAGAAGGAAAAAGGGGGAGGTTTTAGACAGATGTGGTTTGGTGGCTGTGGTATCATTTGACACTTTGTTGAAACTGAACACCAAGATCGATTCGTTAAAGCTTCTTTTGGCATCATAATTGAGTGAAGTAATTTTGTTTTTTAAAAAAAAAAGTTCACGGAAAAGAAAAATAGCAGTGATTTCAAAAGCCTAATAAGCGCTATTTGTTGAGTCTTTCGTATATGAGCCTTGTTGTTCCACTGGTGTCAATGTTTCTATTTCAGCGAAATTATGGGTGCAGTAAGGAATTAATAGATGTGGCTTGTTTGTAACGTGTGTATTATTACACTTTATTTGGTAAAAAGAAATTTTTTTTACAATTTTTTTTACAATTCATTATTATTTTTATTAATTCCAATATTTATGCAATGGTGCTGGTCACAGTCTCATTGACACAGTCGTTGTTTTTCGCACCATTGGTCAAACAAAGCGGTAGTTTGTCTTATTCTAAGTTTGATCTTTATTTAGTGGTCAAGACAAAGAGGGAGGTTACACATTGCAGTCTTTTGCTTTGGAGCATATGAATCAATCTTTCGTTTTTTTTCTTTCTGTTTTTAGGTTAAGCAGCTTTTAGCAGATTTCCACTTAAATTACCCCATCATTTTTGGATAAAGACAACGGTTTCCACCTCTTGACAAATATTAAGGCAACCTAAAATTAAAATTTCCTTCTTCCACTCTGTTTTTTTCTTAATTGTAAAGCTATTATAATCGTTTGCAAGCATCTAGTTGGTAATATCAGTGAAAATGGTAAAGTGCAGCAGTAGCAGCAGTCATGATTGAACGAAATGAATGAACGACTGAGTGATTGACTGACTGACTGATTGACTTGAAAAATTTCCGGATCAGTCTGATTTGTTATCATTGCAAAAAAAAAAAATTGAACTAAAAATGCCAGTTTGCAAACACAAGTTGTATCTTATTGTTGTTTGCTGCCTTCCTCATAATACTCATCTTTACGCAAAAATCTATCTATTTGTGCTTTTCTTTCCAACTTTATTCTCATTTGAACATCATCTTTTAATAGAGTTTATCTGATTTGTTATGGCGTTTTTAATTTGAAGACTGTTAATGACAGATTTCACCAGTATGATTTATGCCCGTCTATTTGATCGATACGATTTATAAAAAATAGAACAAAAGCATCAAAAGAAAAAAAAAACAACTAAAAATAAAAAGCTTGGGCATAATGTCTTAGGAGCTGCAAGCATATACGTAGTCGTTATAATATTTTGAACTTTTTATTCATTTCTGATGCTCCTCGGTAGAACTGACTTATTCATTTTGATAGCTATTTTGTTTTATGTTCTACTACTGTTATTATTATTATTATTACTGTTATTATTTATTATTATTAATGTTATTAATATCGTTACTACTATTATTGATGTCATTTTTAGTTTATTATTTTGTTATGTTTTTGCTCGTTTATTGATTGGAGTTTAAAATTTTAAAAAAATGTTTTTGATTTTAAATTTTTTTATTTTTGGTTAGTATCGGTTTCTCTAAGCTGCCTACGAGGAAAGAAAAGACGGCCTTTCAACTTACATTGTGGGACTTTTATATCAGAACTGCTTGTTTCGTTTAACTTTTTCATCTATTCTTTTGTTCGGCTTTTGGAAATTACCACAATAAATTTTTGAAGAGATTACTGGAAAAAAAAAAGAGAAAAAACGACAAAGAAGATGAAAAAAACTGCCAATAACTCAGTGGTTCTGTCTTTTGCATTACTTCATAGTCATTTTCGACATTTATATCAGTCAGAAAAGAAGATGTAATTTTTTTTTTCATATTTACATATCATATAAATCTATGGATATATTTTTTTTTCATGTAGTTGTATGTCACATTTTTTATGGAAGGGATTAAATGATTGGGATGATATAATTTTGTCAGGATTTTTTGATACTTTTAAGTTTAAAAAACTTTGTTGGGGTTAACGTTGTCGTTTTTTTACAGCGGGAAAGGGTTGAATAGCGGAAAGAAGGGAAGAAGATTGAAGCGGTTTGACTGAGAAAACGAAGGGTAAAGCAAGGGAAAAAAGTAGTTGTTGGTTTTGTTTGTGATGTTGATGGCATTAATGATGATGATGATATTGATGATAATGATGATGATGATGATGATGATGAGGATGATGATGACGATGATGACGATGATGATGATGTTGATGATAATGATGATGGTGAGGATGATGATGATGATGTGTAGGATGATGTGTCGGATGATACTGATGGGGAGAATGATTATGATGACAATGGTGAGGGCAAAGAAAACGACGACGACGACGTCCAAGACGACGACGAAGAAGAATTGCATTGCTGTTTTGCTGAATTTAAAGCTATAAGATTTGTAAACAATATAACTAACTAAGTTGCCAGAATTATCTGTACTTTAAAACATTTTACTTTATCCTTCTTTTTTTTTTTTTTTAAATTAAATATTAACGAGTTTATATTGAAAATAAGAGATTTATCTGTTGAATATGTTGCACTGATTTGCTTCATTTTATCTGCAGTTAACTAGTAACCAAAAAAAGAAATCCAAATAAATGTATTAAATTGAAACCTTTCATTTTGTCTCCCTCCCAAAAAAAAAAGTTTTTTTTTGATGTTTTAGTTTTCTTAAAAAAAAAAAAAAAGTTGATAGGTTAATTCGGCAAAGAA